TTAAACTCTAAAAATGGTTCAAATCAAGTAGATCTATAAACACATGAAAATCTTGAAAATGGATGGTCTGGATAATGTGTTGCAAGATGCACTATATTGCGGACGCGAAATTTTTTTCTTTTCATAGTCATACATCTCGATATTGAGATGATCAATTAGAGGGTTTTCCAACATTCAAACAGCCTTTTATTACGGATTTTTGAGGTACACCTTTCATTCTTATATCAACTTTTTTTATTATATATATATATATATATGTGTGTGTGTGTGTGCAATGTTTTAAAACGTGGTTTGCCCGGCGCCTAGGCGGCTTGGATCAAAATACCGCATGCCCAGACCCATGCGGCCCTACACGGGCCGATGTACTTGGGCGGGAGCCCAGGCAGGCCTAAGGATGTGGCTTTTTTTTTTTTAAATACCTAAAAGGGAAAATGGGGTAATTTTGAGGTTTAAATAGGTTATGGGGATTATTTTTCAAACTCAAAAGTCAAAAGAAAAATTCCATAAACCCTTAATCTCTTAGTTGTACTTGTTTCTGAGAATCAAATGTATTTTTTGTGGTTTGAAGAACCTTCTTAAACCTTTTCACTTGTCGTGAAATATGGAGAGTTGGAGACTATTACTAATACACATCCTATTAGACTTTTAAATTTTGTATGGTTTGAATTTTGAAATTTTGAAATTTTGAACAAATTTATTCTCAACATACGATAAGTCATATTTTTGTACATAAAAAAATATGTTACAATATTTTCAAATGTAATAAATTCTAAAATTGACACAAATATATGTATATATACTACATATCTGCATAGCTTATACAGACAGGATGCCAGGCAGGCCGCCTAGGGGCTGCCTAGTGTTTTTTGAAACCTTGTGTGTGTGTGTGTGTCCGTACAGTGCCTAAATAATAATTCATAAATGTATGTGTGTGTACTTACAAATATGTCCTATCAAATTTGAAAAATGATTTTAAAAATGAAAGAATGAACAATCACTATTTTAGTATTATCAATATGCTTAACACATGCTGCTAAGAACGTTATTGTTAGTCCCATAAAAATTATGAAATTTTTGATAATGTACAACAATAGACGAATTTATATGAAATTAAAGAGGCATTTTGTGTTATAAAATGTAATGTACTAAAATTTGATAATTGGACATACAAAAATTTTAATGATTAAAAATCAAGAAAAAGATTTTTGGAAGATTTTAAATGGGATACAATAAATGCATGAATGCTATTAAATTGACTACTTAAGAAAGGAATAAGTTTATATAGGGCATTTCTTTCATGTCCTTAAGAAATGAAAGACATAAAGGGCATTACAAAAGTCCAAGAAAAGTTTTTCTATTATGAGCAAAAGTTTTTAAATGAAAAGTAAGATGATAAATAAATCAATGAAAAATGTCATTATTTTCATACACTTTCAAATAATATGAAATAAATAAAAATTCATCCATTGCGTAGACACCTTTGAAAGGAAGATAGACATTTGGTGTAAAAAATGTAATGTACAAAAATCTTAATAATTACAAATCAAGAAAAATGTTTTGAGGAAGTTTGGTGAGATAAATGCATGACATGACATTAAATTGAATATTTTAGAAATGAAAGATACAAAGGGAATTACAAAATCTAAGAATAGATTTTCTACTATAAACAAAAGTTTTTAAATGAAAATTAAGAGAATAAATAGATAAATGAAAATATCATTATTTTATATACTTTCAACTAGGAATTGTATACAAAGAGGCCATTTATCTTTGTTAGAAGGAGTTCACAATTATTCCTAGCCATTAGATCTGAAATTGGATAGCTTGGGGTGTGTCATGAAGTTCAAGAAAATTTTCTTTGAACTTTGTAGCCAAAGACACCATCACTTGATTTGAAATCTAATGGGCAAGAGTGGTTTTGACCTCTTTGTACTAAAAGTAAGTAGTCTCTTCTTGTACTTTCCATTTCAACTAGTATAAAATAAAAAATCGTCAATTGAGTAGATACTTTTGAAAGGTAGAAAGGACATTTGGTGCAAAAAATTACATTGTACGCAAATATTAATAAATAAAAATCAAGGTAAATATTTGAAGTGAAGTACAATAAATGCATGAAATGACACAAAGGGCATTATGAAATCTAGGAAAAGATTTTTTATTATAAATTACATATTCTAAAAGAAAATGAAGATAACAAAGAAAATATATGAATTAATTTATAACACATTTTGAAATAATAAAAAATAACAAAAATATCAATTAAATAGTCAATTTGGAGGAGTGGATCAAGATCCTTTGCAGTCAAGGATTGAGATCCCTTTATGTTTGGAAGCAAGATCCCAATAAGTAGGGATCAAGATCTCCTGATGGGAGGAAGCAAGTAGTGCTCGGACTCTGGCTCTAGGATCACTGGATTGATGTTCCAAGAGGAGATCACCACTGGTTGACCAAGATCCCCGCAACTATGGTTTAAGCACTCCCTTTTCTCTATAGAAGGGTTACCTCATGTGGAAGATCTACTTCTTTACTAATACTATATTGTATCTAGAATGCCTCAATGAACGAAATGGCAATATTTTTCAGGAGTCTGGACATGCAGTGACATGTTAGATAGTGGATTATGATGAATGATTGTGGAATTTGTTGTGATTAGAGTACATTCCTGGATATGACGAGGGAGGTCATCATGTCGAAGTTATTGTATGGAGCATTTTTACTGGGATCTCCTAAACATGGTGTATATCCTACTTCAGAATCTCTATCTTGCACACCTGGGAAGGGAATCTCGCTCCTCCATGATTTGTAAATTTTGGGATCTCGATCCTTCTTATTAAGGATTGAGATCCTGGGTTACATGGTAACTTGACTTCATAGCATCATTCCTGAGGGTTCATAGGTAAATTAAGCCGAGGTTTCACCAACATTGGTTTGAGTTTCCTTTCGGATTGGACTGAGAATAAGAAATGGACGATCAGAAATAGGGGAGCAATGAGTTCAAATATCTCGTGTTACTATTTGTGTGATATTTTAAATTAAATGTATCTTTTGCTTGTTTTGTTCACACAATTGTGATTTCCTATGGTTGTGGATGTACTGCCCATCATTGACGGGTCCCGACTTCGACCCCTAGAATACCTGTGGCATAGCGATGTCATGGGCATTTAATAAACAGTAATTAAAACATTTTCTTTTATGTCTATATGATTTTGGGATTCATCTTAATACTTTTTTATTATACGAGTATGCATGGCCAGGTTTGTTAGCTTACAATTTGTGTATCCTTACACTCCAAGAAATGCATAATGATAAAAATAATACACATACTGAAACGATTTATTTAAATACCACATTCTTAAAAATTGTAATTGCTTAATTGGAGAATAAAGTATGAACAAAAATATTTGAATATTATGGAACAATTGGATTTTTTGAAATATTTAATAAAATTTTAAATTGTAAAATATTAATTAATCAAAATGTTGTTGGGATTATGCTCCCAACCACACTAAAAATCTTGTTTTCGAACTAGAGAGAGCTTGAGTTTGTATAGTTTATCATTCAATCCTGATGAAGTTGGGATCGAGCTTCCTCAAAAATCGGGATCAAGATCCCTATATTTAGGGTGTACAGACATCGATCCTTATCCTAGGGACCTTCCTGCTTGTGAAAATCCCATGATTCCGCTTTCGTTCCCCCATCTTGACCCGTTCATGATCCCAAGCCCACCAACTATGGTATCGAGGCTCCAATTTTTTTCTTTTATTCTCCGTTATCTCAGTTGCATTAATTTGTCACTTACATGATTCCTTATTGATAATCTCGTTATATTTTTACTTTTAACATCCCTTTTTTCTTTATTTTTATTTTTATTTTATTTTTTAAAATAAGTTGTACCTATACATAGTGTCATTGAGAGGCTGTCCAAATTACTTCTCTAAAGCATATTCTGGCGCTATGAAACTTGTATCGGTTTGCTGGCTGAGCTGCCTTCTTTTGGACATGATCTTCTACATGAAAAACCTTCATGTTTGAGTAAATGGACTATATGAAGCGGGCTTTTGCCGAAGAGGAGAAATGAAGATGCAGGTCCTGGTTGTATCCATAAGGACATGGAATTATTTATTGTGATAAGATGTATTTCTTATGCAGTATGGATTGAATTTATGTGTGTTGGGATTGGTTTCTATTTGGGTAAATTCCTTTTATGCTTCGTCATTATGTAATTTCTTAGAATCTAATTATGTATCCGTGAGTTCTGAACACAATGATGTATGTGGACTGTCACTCCATCATGGCGAAACTGTCACTGAAAAGATTTGGATGACTTTGTTCATCTTCATTTGACAGACTATTATACGTCTTTTGTAAAGCCTTATTGGAGCCTATCAAAAAGAAAAACTGGTAATCTTCCAAGGTTTTAGTAAAAATCTCAAACATTCTCTGTTTTTTCTTCACTACTTAATCTGCAGGGGAGTGTGGAGTGATGTATGTGTATTATCATCATATTGGTTCACAGTGTACTATTTTTGTTCATGACTATAGGCCTGGCGAGTTTATTATTATTATTTTTTTCTCCTTATGTGGATATGACTGGGTAGTCCATTTTGCATCAGATGTTCCCAAGTTGGTTTATTGAGAAAGAGAAATATGGCTATATTACATGGTTGCATGTGTCTATGAATTTGATTTGTAACTTTAATATATCTTGGTAAGGTTGATATGAATGGTGTCCTATTGGCTGTTAAGTGGATTATGTAAGTGTTTAAATCCATTGAGCCTGGCTATATTGCATGCTTGCATGTGTCTATGAATTTGATTTGTAACTTTAATATTTCTTGTAAGGTTGAGGTGAATGGTGTCCTATTGGCTGTTAAATGGATTATGTTGAGTGTTTAATCCATTGAGCCTTGATATTGGTAGTAATATTGAGCTTGTTCCTTTGGTAATGTTCAAGAAAACTTTATTTGCATCTTAGAGCTTTGGAGCTTTTGCATATGTAGGCCTTGGAGATTACTGTTTGGCGTGATGGAAGGGAATATCAACAGACCTATTCTCGTGGAAAACCAGTGACGGACCTTACGTCTCACATGCTTCCTACTGAATTGAATTCTCGTCAAGGGACTTGTATAAGGTTTTGGCCTGATCGCGAAGGTCTGTTTTCTCAAATTTATTCACTTGGGGGCCAAAGTTTCTCATCTGGGCTTAGAATTCCTAGTTTTGCATTTTATATAGTTGGAATGAGTTGTGAAATGAGGAATCTCAGTTGACATGGCTAACTCTTCATACCTGTTGTGTATCAATGACATATCTTATACAGTATTCACAACAACAATTTCATTTGACTACAACACAATAGCTGGGCGGATTAGGGAGCTTGCTTTCCTGAATACTGATGTAAGGTTTTTCATAGGATGTTTAGCATTTCATTTCTTTCTATCATGGCTGTAATTATTTTCCAAAATCATTGAAATTGAACTTTTTGATTTTACCGCAAGATTTCAATTTTTTTTTTTCTTGAAGTATATGATCTTGGTGCAATAGATTAATCTTATTATGTGCTTTATGTGAAACTTTGTTCTTTCCCTTGGGAAGCTATTTTCCCTATCATTCATAAAAAAATTGTGGCTTTGTGTAAGGGAACCACTTTTACTTAGTCCTGTAACAAGTGTTCATGTAACCAGAAATATATCCCGTTGTACACTTCCTCTTGGCGATTACACAAAATGATGTTAGATACCAATGTGGGCATGATTCTTCTTGAGAAATTGAAAAAGTATGTGCTTACTTGGAGAAGCTAGTAGTTTCCATTTTCTGATATCCTAATTGTTGAGGGAGGAGAAATTTAAACACATCTGATCTTGTTAAGAGTTGAAATGCCTTAATTTGTACTAGTTAATTGTTTGATTCTTGTTATGACGGAGTTTTGGAGATGGTTGGTAACCGGTTTTTTTTTTTTTTTTTTTTTTTTTTGTTTTTTTTTTTTTTTTTGAGAAATGTTAACATTGTATTACTATGACAGTAATAGTTACAGACCACGTTGTGGTTTCCATTCCCACGGACACCTTCAAAAAGCTAACTCCTAATCTATTTGAAAAAAATGGGTAGAGGCCTGTCTTCCCACTGAATTACCCAAAAACACTTCACAAATATTGTTTGCCTTCGGTCTGGAGATGGTTGGAATTGCCAATTGTATTGTAGTTGACTGTTCTTTTCTTTTTATGAGTGCATGTTTTTGTAACATTCTTTCATTTATTTCAAAAGATATATCAATATCTATATGGTTACCCTCAACCATATTTGTGGGCGTTATCAGAATGAAAGTTCTTACTGTAGTGGTTTTTTTATGAATAGATGATAGAAAGTTTAGAAGGTTTCTTTGGAGAGTTATATACGCACTGTAGCCAGTTCAAATGGTTTGCATGATCAGTTGCTAGATCATGCACAACCAATACCTCTTTATCTCATTGCAATTGGAAGTTTTGATATTTTCTTTGATTTTTAGAAGGCTGTTTTTTTTTTTTACCTTGGGAAGTATTAAAAGAAGGGTGTGGTTTCTATAAGGTTGCAACCTTAAACAATCCAATTAAGGTGCACCTCCAAATTTTATCATAGCATGTAAATTTGATGTAAAAAATTCTTAGGATTATTTAAAAATCTATTTTTATATCTAATTATAAAAATTTAAACTCCAAAAATGGTTAAAATCAAGTAGATCTATAAACATATGAAAATCTTGAAAAATGGACGGTTTAGATGATATGTTGCAAGATGCACTATTTTTGGGACAAAATCTCTTTTTTTTTTTCAGTACATCTCGATGTCGAGATGATCAATTATAGGGTTTTTCAAAATTAAAACAACCTTTTCCAATGGATTTTTGAGGTACATCTGTAGTTCTACATTTTAAGGTTGCAACCTTATATAAACTTTTTCTTTAAAAGAATTATCCGACTTTCCTTGAAGTAGATCATCCAAATTATTTTGGCAAGAGGCTCGCTATACTGGCTTTTTATGAAAACTCTTGCTAGGGGAAGGAAAGTGATTAATGCCCTACACTAGTAGAATGGCTGAATGTTAGTCAATGAGACCAACAGCTTATGACGTCATGCGGTCAAAACAATTCAGAAGTAAAGTGAGGGTGAAGTTATTGTAGAGATGTGATATTGTGATTGTGGTTATCTCAGCCAACGGTTGGATAAGGGGAAATTATAAGTTTTATGGGGAAGCATAGAAAGCTTGCCCGACATGACATTATTTACTTTTGATACATAGAGGTTATAATTTTATTTCGAAATTTAGTATCAGAGTTCATTTCTTCTTTCACCTAAGTCCAACTTCGAATTAGAAGTTTAAGCATACCATGGCAGGTCTTTTCTCAAATTGTTGTTGCCGAGTGTATGTGTTTACGTGTCTTTTTGTCTTTGGTATTGTTGTCTGTTATCATATAACTAGAGTGAAGGATCTGCATGTTCTTATATATCTGCGCAATCACATTTTAATCACACCAGCTAGGACTGATGATTTTTTTCTCCACCCGTTTCATTCTTCAGAGTTTTTATTCTACTGCTTATCTCTCTCTTCCTCCATGCATGTGAAGTTTAGACCTGCATCGTAATTTAGGTTTCACATGGTACCGGAGCAGTAAACTGTCCTCTTTGTTGTTGTAGATACCTTTTTCTAGAGCCGAAAAGTGTAGGAGATGAACGCAAACCTATAACTCATTAACTTGTGCTGATGTCATCATAATGACTAATGATATCATCTTACATCATATGTGGTCTTAGAACCTAAATTTTTTGATGGGTATTTTTCCACTTTTTGAGTTGATTCATTTGATATGCATATTAATGTATATATGGGATTTTCGACAGATAACAACCCTCAAAATAACATGGATTAATGTTAGAACCACTTGTGAACAGTACTTGTACCTTCAATACCCTTACACAATAGATATAGAGCTAAAAAAAAAGGGTATTGTAGTCTTTTGTTATGAATAGTTAAGAGAGGGAACTAATTCTTGGGCAAAAAGGCATCTCTCTCGGCATCACTTTTATTTCTCTCATCCGCTGATCTCTCTCTCATCCACCCATCTTCTCATTGCTGAGCTTGCATTTCCCACTGTGTCCCATTTCTCTATGCTAAGCAAGAAATCTCTTGTCATCTTTATATAGATCCATCCAATTGCTCACTCTCTTCATCTCGTTACTCATACTACTAAACTCTCTCTCTCTTTCTCTCTCTCTCTCTCTAAAAAGCTTCCTAGTTTGCTTATTTCCAGAAATGTTCAAGCACAATTAGGTGACAACATCACATTGAACAACATTTTGGGAAGCAAGAAGAGAAGTGATTCAAAATGCGGCACGCCTAGGTGGGCCTAGGTGCATCGCTCAAGCTGCAGCGGTCCTTTTGGGCTGGCGTCCAGGGACTGAGGAGTGAAAATCTTGCTCGTGGAGGGCCATTTTCATCCTTTGCCCCCTTTAAAGTAAAAGGGGGGGGGGGGGGGGGGGGGGTGGTTGTTTAGGTTGACCTATCCCTTTTGTTACCTTTAGTGAGTGAAACCGTTTTGACAAAAAAAAAAAATACATTTGTGCATTTCTGTGAGATCGATTGGGTTTTTCAATACTAAAATCGATCCTAATATCATCCTTTTGGTTTGGATTTGATTTTGTGGATTTTTGAAGCTTATTAGGGGGTTTTTAGGAAGCATTTGAGATTGAGAAACATCTCAAAGATTGAAGATTGAGCTAAAAGGTTAGTTAAGAATATTCATATTTGAGATTTTATTATTACTTCAATGTCTTCTCCTTCATAGTTGGGATAAGGCTTAGATGATGATGATTATTTCAATATCTTCTTCGGGTGCTTCTAGAAGTGGTGATCCGGGTTGGAAGTATGATTATCCAAGTGACAAAATTTGTACAAGATGTAATTATTGCGAGAAAGATACTAATGGGGGTTATAAACCGATTCTAAGAATACCCTACCGGTATTAAGGGGGTTGTTGCCCTGTTTAAACATATTCATGAAGTTATCAAGGATGTGATTCAACAATATTTGAGTTCGGTAAGACACAAAAAGGAATAAAAGGAGCCTTGTCGTTTGGATAAGTCTTCTCCTGGTTCTTCTTAAAGTGGTGATCCATGTCGGAAGTATGATTATAACCCAAATCTAAATGTTCAAAATTGTATAAGGTGTAGCTTTTGTGAAAAAGATACCAATGAGAGTATTAATCGGTTCAAGAAACATCTTGCTGGTATTAAAGAGAATATTGTTTTTTATAGTGAAGCTGTTAGGGATGAGATTAGAGAACATATGAATTTGGTAAAACCAAAAAAGGTCGAAAAGTAGTCTTGTTATATGGACATTTCTTCTCCAGGTTTTTCAAAAAGTGGTGATCTGGGTTGCGGGTATGGTTATAACCTGAATCTGAATTACAAAAATGGTATAAGGTGTAATTAATGTGCAAATGATACTAATGGGGGTATTTACTAGTTCACGAAACACTTTACTGGTATTAGGGAGGATTTGCCCCTTGTAAATCCTGAGGCTACCAGGGAGGTGATTAAACAATATTTGAGTTCAATATCATGCAAAAAGTAAGAAAAGGGTGAAGAGGCATTAGGTAGAGCAGCCAACACAACTAGGACTGTAGACCATCTGCATAGAGCAAGAGGCGAATAAAAGAAGACAAGGAAGAGGCAGATTCCAATGAAACGGAGGAGGACGATAGTTATGTTGAAGGGGGAGATGACTTTGATGATGATGGACTCTATTCAGATGCATATGATGAGGCTTACCCTAGCTTTTCTGATGATGATGACCGAAGACTCTTGACTCTTGTGTCTTTAGAGTGTATATATTTTTTTTCTTATTTTCTAGTTTCTACTTATGTGTATTCCTGTATCACTATATCATTGTATGAAACTCTGGATTATGGAGTGGTATGGACTATGGAGCATGGAGTATGGTTTATGGAGTATGGATTATAGATTGTGTTTGTATTACTAATTTACTATTATATCTTATTTTGGTTGTGCTAGTAGTCTATTACTAATTTGCAATTGTTTGGAACTTTGGTTTATGGGATTTTTAAATTTGTAATATTTTATGATGTATTACTTATATTTCCCTCCTCCTCTTCTTCAACCTAGTCTGTCCAGATTTTTTAGCACCGGCTTAAGCACTGCGCCGCCAGGTCCACCATGACCGCATAGGCGTCACCCGTCGTTTTTTAAACCACTGAAGAGGAGCATCTGTTTATGGTGTGTCAAAAGGGCCCCATCCTATCCCAATCCAAGGAAGCTCTATGGCAACTTTTGCATTTGATAAAACCACGTGCTGCCTCCATGTGTATTATGGCTGGGCTATATACTTGCTCATTGAGATTGTTG